TGAAAATGTTTAATTAACAATTGAATTAGTAAGTAAAGATAAGAATTTAAATAGTAACTAAATGGTAACGTTTCTTTTATGATATTTTCAAAATCCAGCTATGAAGTTGAGAAACACTGGTAGAAATTATGTAAAACTGCATAGTGTCCTCTAGTGGTGAAGTTCCAAACTAGGAAGGTTAATCATAACCTTAAAGAATTATATAAAAACTGTAATGTCAGATGAAGAATATAACCTAAAACAAAATGAGATTTAAACAGAAATGAATTTGAACTAGAAATGCTATAAAAGCAATGGAAGAGGAAACCCTGCTCGATCTAGCGAATATCCCAGCAGATCCACCACGGATGCGAAGCATCTGTAACAAGTGTGAGTAAGTCTGAGAATTGAACAAAAATAAAACCATCACAGTGTACTAATTGATTGAAATATCGTTTATTTCAGACGACCATCAGTGGTGTGTTGGTGCAGTGCTTTACCCGCAACACCTTTAAAACCCAGAAGCAGAATAATCCTGCTGCAGCATCCGGCCGAAGAGAAAAGATGTTTAAGGACAGCCCCGATGCTGAGCCTCGGCTTGCACCCTGACAAATGCCTGATATTCAAAGGGAAGAGATTCCCTGGAAAGCACGAAGGTCTAGAAGAAATTCTGGCAGCTGACAATACTCTGCTGCTGTATCCGAGCAAGTCCTCGGTTAATATAAATGCAGTGAGCAATGGCAGTGACAGCTACAATCTAGTCGTTATAGATGGCACTTGGCCTCAGGCCAAAGCGATTTACACGAGCAGCCCCATGTTGCACAGCATCAAGCAGGTGAAGCTGATCACGACGATGGTGAGCAACTATTCGATCCGTACGCAGCCCAGTGATGGTTGTTTGAGCACCTTGGAAACAGCTGCAGTAGCTTTAAGTTCCTTGGAGCAAGATGAAAAGTATCGGGAAGAACTGATAAAACCTCTGCACGCGCTGTGCGAATTCCAGCTGAAGAACGGAGCGGTCTCTCATCAAAGCAAAGAGTTTAGAATTAAGAATAGATCGTATCCTAAATTGATAGGGAAACGATTGAACAGGGTCCTCAAAGAAGCCGAGATGATGAACGAATCCTCTTAGATTATGTGTATGTTAAGTTGCCTAACGGAATGTAAAGAATTTTTATATAAGAGAAAAAAAAAATCCTTGACACGAATGAATTTGCCGTATTATTAATATTATTTCTCCGCACGAATCATTTAAAAATTTGTTATCAGCACATGTTTTGGAATTCTATGTATGTGGAAATTTAGTCGTTTTAGAACCTATTGTGTAGCAGCCTGATTCAAGGTTACATTATATAACTTTTTGTATTTATAATTGAGATTATCAGTGTTTGCAAATGATTAATAGACGTTTAGTTAGAGGTGTTTTGAGTGTCATTAGAGAGAAAACATTCCAGCAGACGAGAGGCATCTCCAGTAACAAAATGGACATCAACAAGTTCGGATTACCAGCAAGGTTTGCTGGAAGTGTAAAAAGTGTTTGGTAATAATAAATCATTTAAATATAAAACCATATTTTTTTTATTATATCTGAATTAATTGCAGGGTGGAGTATATCCAATTGGCACAAGACTTTCCCTCGATTAATTTGGGGCAAGGATTCCCTGACTTTGGCCCACCCGATCATGTAACACAAGGCTTGAAGGAAGTGGCTGAAGGTGAAAATGTGCTCTTACATCAATACACCAGAGGCTTTGTATTTCATTTACTCAATCGTTTAGTACAATTTTGTATTCAATGAATATTTTTGTTAGGGTCATGTCAGGTTGGTTAAAGCCATTGGAAAATTATACTCGAAACTCATCAACAGGGAAATCGATCCAATGAATGAAGTTCTCATCACTGCCGGAGCTTATGAGGCTCTCTACTCAACCATTGTTGGGCATGTGGACGATGGTGATGAAGTTATCATAATTGAGCCATTCTTTGATTGCTATGAACCTATGGTTAAGAATGCCGGTGGCATTGCCAAATTCATTCCATTAAGATTTGTAATGTTTTGTGTACGCGCAGATTAAACTTTGGTATTAACTGGAGAAAAGTTGTAGAAACCGAAAGGTGAACCCACCGGTCATGCCTCCGATTGGACTTTGGATAAGGACGAACTGTCGAAGCTGTTCAACGCGAAAACGAAAGCCATCATTTTGAATACACCCAACAATCCCTTTGGAAAGGTTTTCGACATGGAGGAATTGCAGTTCATCGCGGATTTGTGCAAGAAGTGGAACGTTCTCTGCATCTCCGATGAAGTCTACGAGTGGATCGTTTACAAGCCGCATACGCATATTAGAATCGGTAATTAGAAACGTTCAGAAATGTTTTCAGCGATTGTGAAACGATTTTGTTTGCAGCTACTTTGCCTGGTATGTGGGAACGTACTATAACTATTGGTTCTGCGGGAAAGACTTTCAGCGTGACCGGCTGGAAAGCCGGATGGGCTTACGGACCCTCCAACCTGATGAAGAATCTGCAAATCGTGCATCAGAACTGCGTGTATTGCTGCGCCACCCCCATTCAGGAAGCTCTGGCGATGGCTTTCGAGAAGGAAATTGAAAAGTTCGGAACGGACGATTGCTACTTCTTCAGTCTGCCCAAGGAGCTGGAAACGAAACGCGATTACATCGTGGGAATGCTTAAAGACGTCGGAATGAAACCGATCATCCCGGACGGCGGTTACTTCATTGTCGCCGATTATTCGCCGCTAGGTAAATGAATCCTCCGACCACGAAATCCCATCTAATTTCCCAACCATTATTCTCGCTGTTTGCAGAGTCCAAAGCGGATCTCAGCAAGGAGACGGATAAGTACAAGGATTACAGATTCACCAAGTGGATGACGAAGGAGATTGGCGTGCTGGCCATACCGACGACCGCTTTCTATAACGAGGCGAACAAACCGCTCGCAGAGAACCTGGTGCGATTCTGCTTCATGAAGGTACGTATTTTTATACTCGTTTGTCTCTAACAACACGCTGCTCGTTATTTTTTCCAGAAAGAGGATAAGCTCCAGAAAGCCGGAGAAGTGTTGCGCAAATGGAAGTCATCGTAGATCTGCTCTCTCTCTCTCCAGTTTGCATCTATTGTATATACAATCCTTGTTATATTATCTGTTCGTTTTGATATAATTTTATTACTTGGAACTTGGTTTATTGCTTTATATAGTTTATTCCCAATTGAACCTCTATTGAACTCTCGCCAGTTTATAGCATCATTTTTTATACATTAAATCAAACATGAGCTATTATTTTTCTTGAAATTTGTTACAGAAAAATTAGTAACAAATTTGACGCAGTTTTCATTGCAATTTTCGTTGTCACAGAAATTATGAAACAACATTATACGTACATTCATTAAATACCATATGTTTTCAATTTTTATATTATCTGTTCGTTTTGATATAATTTTATTACTTGGAACTTTGTTTGTTGCTTTATATAGTTTATTCCCAATTGAACCTCTATTGAACTCTCGCCAGTTTATAGCATCATTTATACATTAAATCAAACATGAGCTATTATTTTTCTTGAAATTTCTAACAGAAAAATTAGTAACAATTTGACGCAGTTTTCATTGCAATTTTACACACAGAAATTATGAAACAAGATTATACGTACATTCATTAATTACCATATGTTTTCNNNNTTGCTTTATATAGTTTATTCCCTCTATTGAACTCTCGCCAGTTTATAGCATAATTTTTTTTATACATTAAATCAAACATGAGCTATTATTTTTCTTGAAATTTGTAACAGAAAAATTACTAACAATTTGACGCAATTTTCGTTGTCAGAGAAATTATGAAACAAAATTATACGTACATACATTAATTACCATATGTTTTCAATTGTTTAGTGATAGATTAGATTACGCAAAGTGGTCGAACGTAGATAAACTTGATACAAATTGATTCCTCTCTGCGTGAGAGGACTAAAACGTCCTTTTTTTTTTAGTATTTAACTACAGAAATTAATTGTTTGATAAGAAATGTTTACGCAATTGATTTATAACTTCTAGAACTAAGAAATGTACACTAAAGCTATATAAAATGAGCGTTTCTACTAAAAAAAAAGAAGGAATGTTGCTTTGTGTGTGTTCTAATCGCGTCGAAGGCGTTACGAAAGCAATAATTCCGATAACGGAATTACAAAGTTTATGCGTTACAGAAACAATTACATCCATTTCGCGATAATAATAGACGCTCGTATATTTCACCCTCAAAGCCAGCGAATGCTGTAAATTTATATGCGAGATAACAGCAGTGCAGACAAGATATATATGTACTTGGAATTATTATTGAAAGCCTCTCGTTTTCATTGATTCCAAGCTCGGCAATAATAACATTCCTTTCCGCTGAAACCGATTTAGTCCTTAATTGTTAATGAGCGTTTGGGAATGTGGGCGGCCGTGGTTTTGCAGCCGATCGAGAGGGTGCGGCAACGCGCGCGCGACCGTCCGGATTTCACTCATTGAATTTTCCTGCACAACAAAAAAAAAACGCAAACTTTATTCACCTTTAACCGCATTACTCACAAACAGACTTATTGTCAAAGCGTTACGAAAATCTGAACCACAATCCTTATAGCTTATTCGTAATTACTATAATTATAAACTTTCGAAATCAATCTTAAATGAATCGAAAATTTAACGTGGAATTGTGGAATTTGCAGCAACAAACCAATATTTATTTATAGATTGCGGTTCGCTGATATCGCTAAATAAATTTCGATGTTAAAATAAACTGCGGTTCGAAAAGTCCCAGCAGATAAAGCGCGAGGCTAATTGTTGTTTACGCGTTTCGTAAACAAGAGACAATGTGAATAATCAATTGTGACGACGTTTATTTCGCGTCTACATCGATTATTGTTGTTGTTGGTAGAAGATAGTGCAACTTGAGTCCAGGAAGAATGGTACGTGCACGTTCCTCAAGTGCTGAAGTCTCCACGGAGCCAGCGCTTAGCGTCCCTGGTATCGTTACCGTAAGTCTTTCCAAATCTGAAGAGAAAATGTGTTAGTTTCATCTTGTAAGCTTTGAGGTTTTATGGTTGAACCTGAATTTTTCGCCTGGAATGTGTCCGGCGTAATTGGGCAACTGCCCCATGTGCCTTGGATAGATGTCGGCCGGTTCGATGAGCAAGGGCGGATCTGGTCTTGTGATGGAGACGGGCGCCCATTCGGTGCTGAGCCTCTTGCGGTAATTCGAGGTGAAATCGCACAAAGCGCTGTTGGTCATCGCTTGATTGGATTTGCCGAAGGATGAGTACCCGAAAGGCACGTGTCCTGCGAAGCCTTGCTTCAAGTACTTCTCCGGTTGATTGTTTTCCATGAAGTAAGGGCTGTGAGAGTACGTTGGAGGAGTGATGGGTGGTTCTTCCACTGGTAGATTCCTCATGATACCGCAGCATTCGGGTCTCACCTCCAGCAAAGGCAACGTAAACTCGCTCGTAGTTAACTAAAATTAAAGATAAAACATATCTTTTGTTGCAAAACCAAGATCAGTCACCTCTCGATCATCCAAATCTCTCGGATCCCACTTCTTATCCTGAAGCGCTCCTTGCCTGATCAACTGGTTGAGAGCGGCTCTATCGGCTTGCTGCAGTTGATCGAATTGCGATAAAGCTTCAGTAGCTTGAACCGTGTACCTTTGCCCGAACATCCCGTTCAATCTAGGCACGAAACCTGAACCAACATTCATTCAATCATTCAGCAAAGCAAAAACTTTTTGATCGACCTTCGTATCCGGGAATTGTGGGATGTTTGTAGATCTCTCCTCCATGCTTCGTCCTTGCATCAACTATATCGATGTCCCTTTTGGCCGGCCTCACCACCTAAAACTGATCTCATCAAAAGAGAACGTCTTTTTGAAGCGTATCTCACCTGATAATCGTCGGCGCTTCGATCGGAGAGCACCAATTTCTCCGCGTGGCTGACGGTCGGATCCAAGAGCAACTTGTGCGTCGTCGATCCATACGTGTTTCCCACTCGATACTTGTATTGGGGACAGAATCCTACATACCTGAACCAAAGTGAATTACAGTTGAAAGAGTCATTAAAAAATCGCGACTTACCCAGGTATATAATGGGGATTCGGTGATGATATCAGATCCATAGACATGATGAAGCCGGACACAGCACAAAATTTTGATTCGAACGAAGAATAAGAAAAAACACGCGACACAAGCAATTTGATGTGATTCCAGACACAAAGTACAATTTTGATACAAACAATCTTAGATCAAAAAATATTGAATAAAATTATGCAATTCGTGTATCCATTTTATATAATTGACACAGATCTTCGATGCGCATGTAAAGAAGCTTCGTCGGTAAAAACCCGAAGGCTTCCACTTCTTTATTTATATTTTTTTTTTTCATAAATAATTCATACAATTGGTTTCAATTGCACAATTCGCGGAGACTCGTCGAATTGATGGCATTATCCGCTTTCTCTTCCATTAAGATAGCTTAAGCATTTCCTGGTAATGTGGAAATCGTACCGGAATCACAGGAAAATGCATGCAATTAATAAACGTTTCGCATTACGCAGAGTTTCCTCGATTCTGAAAAAAACAATTAACAGAAAAAGAAAGAAATATTTAAATACATGTAACTTATGATATAATTTCATGATTCAACTGATAATAATTTAATGTTGAACAGGATCTATAAAATAGGTATGAACCGTGTACCATTGAACTGGACATTATTATGCTGAGGTCAATTGAACAAAATAAACCTTCGCAAAGTAAGAAGTCAATGTAAACGAAATGTATTACGATGCAAATACCCGTGTTTTCACGTACGTGCGCATTACTTAGCGTTTGTATACAATTTATTGACTAATTCCAAATTCTAATTGAATCATTTTACAGGATTTCTCAAATATACATACTTATTTATTCAGTTTTAAAAATTCAACAAATAATTTATTAAGAAAGCAAAAAAAAACGTTGGATTTATTTATTAATAAGAGATTTTCAAATTTCCAAAATTGGACAGTGTTAAATTTTCAATGTGTCCCAAAATGACATCTGTCGCCTTGTCTGTCAAAACGTAGAAACCGATGAAAAACTCTTCGCAAAAAAAAGTTCAGAAACGCTTATAAACTAGTTTAAAGCAATTATTGATTAATAGTTTCTAAAAGTGTTTAAGTTTCTTTACAATCAATGATCTTAACTTATGGGTTACTACCCAATATTGAGGTTGACAGATGTCAACCAAGTGTCAAAGCTAGAAACAGGTAAAAAAGGTTGAGAAATGCTTATATAAAGCTTATAAACTAGTTTAAAGCAATTGTCGATTAATAGTTTCTAAAAGAGTTTAAGTTTCTTTATAACGAATCAATTAAATCTACAGAATTTGAAACAATTGAAATCTATTATTCATACTTATTAATGATGATAAACAATGTTGCATTTATATAAGGCCTTTTTCTATTCCATCACAACTTTCATAATTTTTGAAGCAGCTGATCTTAACTTATGAGTCACTACCCAAAATTGACGTTGACAGATGTCACCAAGTGTCAAAGTAAGAAACAGGTGAAATACTCTTCGCAATTGGGTTAAAAAAGGTTGAAAAACGCTTATAAACTAGTATAAAGCAATTATTGATTAATAGTTTCTAAGAGAGTTTAAGTTTCTTTACAACGAATGAATTAAATATACAAAATTTGAAACAATTGAAAAATATTGTTTATGGTTATTAATAATAATAAACAATATTGGATTGATATAAGAGATTTTTCTATTTCATCATGACTTTCATAATGTTTGAAGCAGCAAAATTGACGTTGACAGATGTCACCAAGTGTCAAAGCGAGAAGCAGGTGAAATACTCTTATCAATTTGGTTAAAAAAGGTTGAGAAACGCTTATGTAAAGCTTATAAACTAGTTTAAAGCAATTATTGTCTAATAGTTTCCAAAAGAGTTTAAGTTTCTTTACAACGAATGAATTAAATATACATAATTTGAAACAATTGAAAAATATTGTTCATAGTTATTATTGATTATAAACAAAATTGGATTGATATAAGACATTTTTCTATTTCATCTCAACTTTCATAATGTTTGAAGCAGTTTATCTTAACCAAAATTGAGGTTGACAGATGTCACCAAGTGTGGGTTAAAGGTTGAGAAACGCTTACGTAAAACTAATAAACTAGTTTCTAAAAGATTTTAAGTTTTTTTTAGTAAAAAAATATATAATTTTATGACAGAATTGTAAATATATGAAAAATATTGTTAATTGTTATTATTAATAAAGGGACAAAATATTGGATTTTATGAGAGATTTCGTCTGTTTTTATCATGACTTTGAGAACAATTTGAAACAAAGCCAAAATAACTACAAAAACAGTTTATAACAAAGATTTGTTACTAGATTTTATTTAATAATAAAGAAATCAAACATTTAAATTTTATTTATTGTTTCGTTCTCACAATAGAAATTCAAATTCGTGCGTTGACCTTCTTCCATCATGCGACTACAGCCTTATTTTTTCTATTATTTTGATGGAAACCACAGAAATCGGCAGCTTTACATTTAAAAATTATAATCCAAAAGGCTTTCTACGAAATTTTTTTTATACGCTGTAAACAAAGTCGTTGTTAAAACTGGTCACTGTTTACAGGATGAGGGTGGAAATGTGGGCAGCAGCTGCTTGATCTCTCTCACGCCAATATTATGACGCTCATCACTTAGTTAAAACGACGCGACGAACAAAACAGAATTATTTCATTTCACTTACGTAAAGCGACATCAATTGGAATGCGAACAGCGAAGTTTTTAACATTCATAATGGATCGTCCTTTAATTTCGCAATTGAATTACGACGATGCATCGATGAAGAACAGCAGATGAAGAACACTCATTCATATGGGTTTTCCATTCTTCGGTCGGTCGGTCGGTCGGTGGCGAAGGAAAGCTGCAAATGTCGTGAGGGCACGTGCCTTTCCTTAAGAGTTTATTGGCGTTGTCGAGCAGATGTTTTTTTTTCCTTCTTCTTGGGCGCCGGTTAAACTTGGCCATGTGTCGTATTACCCATTTCCTCCTTCACAATAAGGAAGAATGTAAAGGAAAGAAACATATTGAAAGTCATTTTTAACGACAGACCTAACGGAAATACACACAAACACACACACGTTAATGTCCGTTTTATTCATTCATCAAGAACGCAAGTCTGAAAATAAAACAAAAGACATCAGAAATACGAGTTTGAAAGACGATAAATTAAGCAAGGAAACTCTTTGGATTGTATTCAACAGTTGTTAATTAACATCGATGATGCACGCATGGTTTTATTTCTTCTTTGAGATCGTAAGTAAATATGACGAAGAAATGTTAAATGATGACGACAGATCGTCGTGTTTACCATTCGTAAGAAGATGCGGTACAAAAATACGTATGACTAAGATCGATATAAACAACATTACTCCATTGATTTACTATTAATAAATTACAGCAATTTTCCACTTTTTTTTACAGAAAAGTGTGGAAAAGTTTCCAATATTATATAAATCTTCATAAATTACTCAATTCTAAACTCAAATTATGTTAAAAACAGAACTTGTAAAAAAAGTAAACAATTAAATTCACAAATTTCGTGTAATATAATGAGAAAATTGTCCCAAATAAGAGAAAACTTATGCAATATTGTGAAATAAATCCACTTAACGTTAAATTAACTGAAAAGATTCAATTTTCGTCAAGTATTAACACTTTTACAAGGTTTGTTTATGAATTTTACTTTATTTTTTTTTTACATTTGTTTTATCAGTTAATTTCCGAATTTAATAAGATACATATACAAAGGTTCTTCGTTTACAATTATACATTTTATAAGTAATTTATAATTGAAATAAATCAGTGAAATCAGTAAAAAAATTGAGTTTATCTAAATAGTTTTTGAAGCTAGAAAATCACATTTTGAACTTTTCAAACTTATAATTTACTAAATCTTCTAATAAATTAGTAAGTGCACAATTTAATAGCATAAAATATGTGTTTGCAAAAGATATTTATCTGAATCAATTAATGGATAAATAATGATACCAATAATTTACTCCACATAACGATCAATCAATCAATCATTTTTTGTTGTTGTTGTTGCTGCACTAAACAAATATAAAAAAAGGAAAAGTAGTAAATATTGAATTATGAAATATGGCATAGTCGCATTTTTTGTGCATGAATTTATTGCGCGATGCAAGAAAATGTAAGCTGTAAGCAACTTCTTTTTTCTTCTTCAGTGTCTCGTGCATTCCATAACCGGTGGAATTTCCTGGGAATACATTAGGTAACGGAAATATTGATCTAGCTTGCACACATTGCATCAACAGTCTAAATAAACACGCGTCGTCAACGCAATTTTCAGTTCTTGACAATTTATTAACAAATTGCAAATATTAAAGTAGTTATACATAAAAATTGGATTATTTTCTTACAAATCAAATATTCTTGGTTTACATCAACGTTTCTCAACATATTCCTTTGATATTGCAGCAATTGCTAACACTTTGACAGGTGTCAAAGCAATGACAGCTGTCATTTCACAATTTAAAGCCAATTTCGAGTCCCAATCAATATATAAATTTAGAAACACTGGTTTATGCAATAGTTGTAGAAATATTTTCTATGTTTGGTTAACAAGAGTTAAGCATGTGCAATAATTGAATTGAGATTCAATGATACAAATTTGGGATAAAGGTCAACAATTTAGTTGAAACTAAACGGTTTTTTGATGGAATGCACAGTTAAAATTTATTTAAACATTGAATTATTTCTAAGAAATAATGAAGACACAATCGTCGATTTCGTTTAATTAATCATCACCCATTAATTAACAGATTTCCAAAAATAACATCCCATTTGATGATAGATAACAAAGCAGACGTTTCATTCATTTCATTCTAGGTTAATTACTAACAAAAAAAATTCTACCAAAAATTTGATGTAACATTTCTTATTATCATATTTTACAGTATTTGTTTTTTCATTATTTGTTATAAAAGATAAATTTGTAATTAAAATTTAAGTTTTTTCTTTTTCTTTTTATATTGTTTATTTTTATATTGACTATTTTAACTTTGAAAATTCAGTACTTTCACAATGTAAAGTTAAAATCTACGTTTATTCATAACAGTATTTTCATTAAGCTTAATCTCTAGTTAAAGTTAAATCTATGGGACAAATACTTATTGATTTGACGACAAATATTTATGGGACAAATACTTATTTTTTTAACTTTGAATATTCAGTATTTTCAATAAGCTTCAGTAAAATTTAAAACTACTGGACAAGCGAGGACAAGTATATATTTGTTGAAACAATAAAAATCCAGTATTTCTAATGATGAAAACCCTAAAGTTAAATTCTTTACTTATCCAGTGGATTGGACAAGTGTAGACAAGTTCTTGATTATTGTAGTTAAAACCAATAAGTATCAACGTTTCATTCATTTTTTCTAGGTTAATTACTAACAAAAAATTTCTACTAAAAATTTGATGTAACATTTCTTGTTATCATATTTTACAGTTTTTTTTTTTCATTATTTGTTAAAAAAGATAAATTTCTAATTACAATTTTAGTAAAAAACAAACAAAACAATATTAATTAGTGTATCTCATAGAAAGTTATACAATTGTACAACAAAAATAGGACAATTCAGTATTTTTTCATCTTATTTTGTTTATTTTTATGTTTACTATAGCCAATTGTGAAAGTTATTATTCTATTTATTAATGTCTGTAAATGTTTGCAAAGTACAAGAAATTGAACATATTTTTGCAAATATTACTTTAATTTCTTAAATTATCAAATATAATACTTACTTCAAACAATAAAAAACTGCTTTTTAATATGTAATTATCAACTAAATAAATTTTCCAAAATCAGAAGAAAAAAAATCAAAAATATTTTTTTTATAATTTTACTTGAAAACCTATTACAATTATTGTTAATTAAATTGGTTTTAAGACTATTGCATAATTTTGAGTATTTATTTATTAATTGTAAATAATATATTGGAAATTTTCACATGTTTACAATTGAAAATGTGTAAAGATATTTTGATAAATTGCAATTTAATGGTTTATCAATGAATTTTTTTGTATATTTTCCTATTGCTTATATATTTTTAATACAGAGACAAACAAAATATGAAGAAAAAGTTAAGTAAATTGAAAATTACTAAAAATTTTCACTGAAATAATTGTTTTAAACAAAATAATTACATTGTTTCTATTGGATAATTAACTTATGCAATATTATGAAATAAATCCACTTAACGTTAAATTAACTGAAAAGATTCAATTTTCGTTAAGTATTAACACTTTTACAAGGTTTTTTTTTATGAATTTTACTTTAATTTTTTTTTACATTTGTTTTATAAGTTAATTTACGAATTTAATAAGATACATGTACAAAAGTTCTTCGTTTACAATTATACATTTTATAAGTAATTTATTATTGAAATAAATCAGTGAAATCAATCAAAAATTGAGTTTATGTAAATAGTTTTTGAAAATCAAATATTGTTTATCTCAAACTTATAATTCTAATAATACTAATATTCTAATAAGTTAGTGCAAATATTTTTTTATAATTTTACTTGAAAACCAATGAGAATTAGTGTTAATTAAATTGGATTTAAGTCTTTTACATAATTTAGAATATTTATTTATTAATTGTAAATAATATATTGGAAATTTTCACATGTTTACAATTGAAAATGTGTAAAGATATTTTGATAAATTGCAATTTAATGGTTTATCAAGGAATTTTTTGGTATATTTTCTTATTGCTTATATTTTCTTAATACAGAGACAAACAAAATATGAAGAAAAAGTTAAGTAAATTGAAAATAAGTAAAAATTTTCACTGAAATAATTGTTTTAAACAAAATAATTATATTGTTTCTATTGGATAATTAAATAAATTTATTTCAAGAATTATGCAATAATTAGTTAAATTAACTTGATTTATATGGTGGGTAAAACCATGAAATAAATCCACTTAACGTTAAATTAACTGAAAAGATTCAATTTTCGTTAAGTATTAACATGTTTTATAAGTTAATTTACGAATTTAATAAGATACATGTACAAAGGTTCTTCGTTTACAATTATACATTTTATAAGTAATTTATTATTGAAATAAATTAGTGAAATCAATCAAAAATTGAGTTTATCTAAATAGTTTTTGAAGCTAGAAAATCAAATATTGTTCATCTCAAACTTATAATTCTAATAATTCTAATAATTTAGTGCAAATATTTTTTTTTATAATTTTACTTGAAAACCAATGAGAATTAGTGTTAATTAAATTGGATTTAAGTCTTTTACATAATTTAGAATATTTATTTATTAATTGTAAATAATATATTGGAAATTTTTACATATTTTCCTATTACTTATATTTTCTTAATACAAAGACAAACAAAATATGAAGAAAAAGTTAAGTAAATTAAAAATAAGTAAAATAATTGTTTTAAACAAAATAATTACATTATTTCTATTGGATAATTAAATAAAAGTCAATATAATTATGCAATAATTAGTGAAATTAACTTGTTTTATTTGGTGTGAAAAACGTTGTTTTTTTTTGTGATATCGGTTTATGCAATTCGGTGCGTTATTTTTTCTTTGTTAAAGAGACAGAAAGAAAGAAAGAAAGAAGTGAAAAGAGAGGAGGAGGAAGAGAGTTTACCTTTACCTGGCGAGTGTGTGTATATGTGAGTGTGTGTATATGCTGGCTTACCTTTGGTTTTGCGCATAGATAAGGGGTCAGGTGAGATGGTGGGGCCAAGGGCGGCTAACCGTTCACAATCGACTCGAGTTGAAGCCAAGGAATTCCAAGCAACGTTTATTTCACAATCCGATGTAGAATAGAACGCATCGCATCTCCGTTACATGCACATCGTCTCTCCAAAGACGAAAAAGAAACACGATACAAATACCAAGTGAATTTCCCCCCTTCGATAATAAACGAAGATATATTTGTTTGAAGTGATGCCCGTGCGCCCTGGATTAGTGATTACAACTGTGATGTGAATACGAGCAGATTTTCGCGAAAATCTGAGAGGAACAGAGCGAACGAGAGACGTTACAGAGGGGAAAAACGCAAATAAAAACGAAGACATGAAGTACAACACGTTAAGTTCGAGCAGCCTGTCGAGCGAAGGGCGCAAATCCACGCTCACCCTTTACACAGATCCGGACTTCTTGCACGAAAAGGTATAAGAAAAAAATTACACAATTGTATTCATAATGTCATCAGGTTTAACAACAATAAATGTTCGTTGATATTTCTAAATTATTTTTTTCTTTTCTTACTTCTCGTGGAAGAAAGCGCGCGCGTCTTCTCGATGATGATGGTCATCATCATCATCATCTTCTTCGCATCCAAGCGTATCTAATAAGAGAATCGTAAAAAGACAGAAAAAAAAAAGTTCTAACGACGTGCGTTTTTCACATCCAGACGGGAAAATTGAGTGTATTTGTTGTTTTCGCTTGTAACCGTCTACTCCTCTCAATGTAGGGCAGATTTCGTTCAAGGTTAAGTGATCTTGCAATCGATTTTCATTCAATCGTCTCACCTTAATTTGTAATTTTTTTTTTGTATTCTCTCACTCACTACATTCCATATCTACAATAACCTACTTAAATTCGTTTCACTTTAAATATTAAACAAAACAATTTGCAAATACATACTTTATTATAAACTTAATCTAATAGGTTCATCACTTAAGTGGAAACGAAAATTTCAAACTGAATTTTTCATAATTTCAACTTTTTTTCTTTTACAATTTTAACACAAAACAATTTGTTTTTTTTTTGCATTTGTCCCTTTAAACTCTTTAAAAACTTACATTTCTTCAACTATAATTTCTTGAAATTTCATTTTATTTTTCTAAATTAAACATGACATTAAAAAAAAGTAATTGTAAAGCTACAAAATTTCATATTTACATCACTAAACAAATGTTAATTATATGTTATTTTTAGAAGTGAAATATTAAGGTTTTAAAACCGCATTCATTTCAATTTAGCTGCAAATTATTCAACCTAAATAGATTAAACTGTTTTCGTTTACAAAAAATTGTATTATCTCCGTTTCGTAATGAGAATACGCGTTGATAACAGACAGGAATTAAGTAAAGTAACCGTTACTAAGAATTTAACATGTATTATTTATCATTTCAATGAGCAAAATCCTTGATATAAATAACATTGATTACAAAAATTTTTACTCTATTCTCATTATTATTATGTTCTTTTTCAAATAACTATACAAAATGGAAATAGATTTACCAAAAAAATACAATCGTTTTATAGTACTAGAAATTTTTGAATCGTTAACTGTAAAAAAATTAATAACGTCTTCGAAGATTTATAACTTTTTGCTTATATGGAAAGTCGTTATGTTTATTGCTTTTACATTACACGTATTAATTACAATAATAATTAGATTATACGCAAATTCAATTAATAATAGCATTGTTATAAATTATATTATTAACTAATTAAATAATTAATAAAGTATATAATCCAATTACTTTTACACAAAATTTTAACTTGTAGATAGAGAATGATGATGATTTCTTTATATGTTGGCACATGTTTGTAAGGGTAAAACTGGCCTAGATCAACGTTTGACTGTTAAAATAAAACTGTGAAGAAACGTGTTTTTTTCCTTTTTAATATCTACCCTCATCACTAGCCTTGCGACAAGCGTCGAAATTAGACATGCTTCAGCACGTAGGCGATAACAGAAAGGCAAAGATGTTATCAGAAGCTAATTATAATTCGTTTAAGCACATTGACATAAGTCTACAAACTAGACGTGAGTCAATGGACTTAAAACTAAGTGAAATATCATTAAATGACTCATTCGCATTATCATTTGAAATTTCCAGTATTTTCATAATGTTTAATCTTCTGTTAATATTTAATTTTATCACTGAAAATCCAGTATTTTCATGAGGTAAAACCTTAAGTTTACTTAATCTTTTGTTAAATTTAAATCTACTTAAGTTAAAATGTACGTTTATCCATAACAGTATTTTCATTAAGCTTAATCTCCAGTTAAAGTTAAATCTATGGTGCAAATGTTTATTGATTTGAATATATCGTTTAAATTTGAATATTCAGTATTTTCATAATATTTAATCTTCTGTTAATATTTATTTTTTCTCTGAAAATCCAGTATTTTCATGATGTAAAACCTTAAGTTAACTTAATCTTCAGTTAAAGTTAAATCCACTGTACGAATACGATGCAAGGTCTTAAGTTAAAATGTACTTTTATTCATAACAGTAGTTTTTCATTAAGCTTAATCTCCAGTTAAAGTTAAATCTATAGGACAAATGTTTATTGATTTGAAGAGTTATATATCGTTTAACTTTGAATATTCAGTATTTTCATAATGCTTAATCTTCTGTTAATATTTATTTTATCCCTGAAAATCCAGTATTTTCATGATGTAAAACCTTAAGTTTACTTAATCTTCGGTTAAAATTAAATCCACTGTATTAATACAATGCAAAGTCTTAAGTTAAAATGTACGTTTATTCATAACAGTATTTTTTCATGAAGTTTAATCTCCAGTTAAAGTTAAATCTATGGGACAAATGTTTATTGATTTGAAGAGTAATATATCGTTTAATTTTGAATATTCAGTATTTTCATAATGCTTAATCTTCTGTTAATATTCATTTTATCTCTGAAAATCCAGTATTTTCATGATGTAAAACCTTAAGTTTACTTAATCTTCAGTTAAAGTTAAATCCATTGTACGAATACGATGCAAAGTCTTAAGTTAAAATGTACGTTTATTCATAACAGTATTTTCATTAAGCTTAATCTCCAGTTAAAGTTAAATCTATGGGACAAATACTTATTGATTTGACGACAAATACTTATGGGACAAATACTTATTCTTTTAACTTTGAATATTCAGTATTTTCATTAAGCTTCAGTAAAATTTAAATCTACTGGACAAGTGTGGACAAGTATATATTTGTTGAAACAATAAAAATCCAGTATTTCTATGATGAAAACCCTAAAGTTAAATTCTTTACTTATCCAGTGGATTGGTCAAGTGTAGACAAGTTCTTACTTGTTGCAGATTAAACCAATTTAATCCTATTTCTTCACTTTTCCAGTGGATTGGACAAGCGTGGACAAGTATTGACAAGTGTTGAAGAAGAAAACAGTTAATAATATTTACTTTAACACATCAGATCTAATGAGTAAAATACTAAAAGCTGAGACACTTTTTTTTCTTCTTTATTGTTTACTTGCATTCGAAACACATCTCAGCGAATGCAAAGTCGCGTGGGCAAACGGGAATTCCTAGACTTTACCTCCCACAAAATTCCAGTCCAAACAATTAATTATATAAAAAAAAAACAATCCATACTACTATAAAAAAAAAACGAACCATTCCAGCATTAATTTCATAAACCAGATTCCTGAACACTCGCCACGACGAAAATCAACCTTTTTATCATCCCGGAATGCAGGTAAATTAATCTAATAGGAAAGGTGTATCGAGTCCTAGAATCTCCGGTTTGCTTTCCTCAAACATAAATCACGGGAGCGCGACGTTGCTTGTAAATTGCAGGCATGATTTACGCGCCAGATAATTTAATTTACTTACAGGGTTTTTTTTTGTCCCTTCTGCAAATGGAACAAGAAAATGTACAACGACTTTCCATTTTCGGGAAAGCTCGTAAAGAGATGATTTGTACCGTGTAATATAAATAACTTTTGTCGATGTTTATACGTTCTATGATTGAGATTTTAATCTTAAGAATAACTAATTCTTACGGTCCAAGTCCGATGGTAAAATGACATTTCTTGAGAGACTTTCTTCTACTTTGTGGCTTTGCGGTTTTCGTACACAATTTCTCTTCTATTCTTTAAAACTTTTTCCAATTTCCATTTTGTAAAAAAAAAACTCATATTTATCCATAATCATAATACATTTCTAATAAATAGCAAAAGTGCAAATAACAACAAAAAGTTTCAATCTTAAATCGAAAGTATATTCATTTTAAATCTGTTTCCATTATTACATTATCTATCAGTATTTAATAGAGTTATTCAACTTTCTTGGAATGCTTTCTTACGTAAACATCTGCTATCGCCAAGATTATCCAAGAATTGTGTTGGCTGTGGATTTATGAATGTCATTCGCGTTCGATTCCTTCAATGACATTTCTCAAGAAATAATTATTCTACGAATCGTGCAATCATTACAATTTTTATACCAAAAATAAAGAGAGAAATCTTACATTTAT